ACTCTTTCTCTTCTTCTGATGCCTCCCTTTCCCCTGTTGAGAATGAATTCAGTTTCTCTAGGCAATTGTTGCTTTGTAGACACTTGGCCCTTGGCCTGCTGGAATCAATCCTCTCTTTTCTTTTTTGGCTCTGCATTAGTTTCCTGAGCATGGCCTCAACACAGTAGTGTTATAGCAAAAGATTAGCCAAACCATCTGCCTGATTCCATTCTTTTACTCCTTTACTCCTCTCCTTCGCCCTCTCTGGATGATATTCTGGCCCGATTTGACTGCTGATTTGACGCAACAGTCGAGCAGATAGTGGCTGTGTACCATTCCGCCTCCAAACAAAAGGCTTGGGACCATTTCACGAAAGCTCAGCGTAAGAACATCAACGTGTGGTGCAAACAAGCAGAGGTTGGTAATTTTTTCTTGTGTTAGACATTCCGTAGTTCAGTTCCTTTCTCAACCATATATTGATTTTCTGTTTAGTACAATCGTTCCATGGGTCGCCAAGGTTTTAATGGACTAGTGTAAAATGGGCAGTACTCAATAATCTTCTTCAGGAAAAGCAACGTGCATCAAGGTGCTTGTGATAAATCCGACTGGAAAATACCCCTAATTTTGTGCTAATGGGTATGCTAATGCAGCTATGGTAACATTAAATTAGCTTGTGGTAGACTTGGACAGTCTTATGGAATGGGGAATTAGAAGCAGCATGAAGTCTAAACAATATGCAGTACAAAGTTATGCATGTAGGGATGAATACAAGCCATAAGGTCACCTAGCAGATGCATAACAAAGCATTTTGGTGCCCTGGGTGGAGTGAGGGGGTGCCAAGCACCTTCTCACACATGTATGCAGCATAGGCAGCGATATGGGCTCCCCAAGGACTTCTGTTCTGGTTCCCCCTCTAAATCAGTGCCTGGGGCTGGTGGCCCAGTCACCCACCTCTAGTTATGCTACAGCTATTTCCCTGGTATTTCTGTGGCAGGGCATTGGTGGAGCTCCCATCTCTTCTCCTTTATCTATGGCATGCTGTAGGTTGAGAATCTTCTCAACCAGGGAGCCAGGGCGCTCTGGAGTGCTGCGAGATCCTTTGAAGGGTGTTGCAGGAGGTGTGAGAAGAAACGTGAGGTATGAGGAGCTAAGCAGATAAGGGCAGGCTCAGGCTGCCCCTGCTGGGCTGCTCCCAAGCCCCTACTGCCTGGCCCCTCTGCAAGAAAGTAAGCACTGTAATAAACAAATTAATTTTTGAAATGGGGAACCGCTCAGTTCACAAAAGTTATGGAGGGGTGCCTCAAATCTAAGGAGGGATGCCTCTGGTCTAAAAAGGTTGTGAACCACTGTTGTTGCACATTCCTGGTGTTTTGGGCTTTATGCATTATAGATCTGTGTGAGGGTTTGAAGTGGGGATTTTAGGGATTTCTTGGGTAAATGATTATTGGCAAATGGAGCAGAGGGACTTCATAGCCTAGGATGTCCCTTCAAGTCCTGTGTTCCTCACCATGGAGGTATCCTGGAGAGGACTTTCTGTGTGACTTTGCTCTTCGGGTCTCCTTGAAGCAGTGTGTCCTGGCTGGAATAGAGTGTACACAGAGGCTTATTTAGCATGTCATTTCTTAATTTTTCTAAGACAGCATGTTGATTGGTAATGCACTCTGACAGGTGTCTACCATGTCTTTAATTATTAACTGTTTTCAGCTCTAGAAAGACAAGTTCTGTGCCACTGTTGCTTGCTGTGCTTTCAAGCATGGACAGCTGGAGCAGCAGGCTGCAGTGTGACATGTCAGAGTTCTCTCTGGGACTGCAGAATGACTGTGCCAACCCAGAAGCAGAAAAAACATACCTTGCTTAGAATTTAAATTAGAAGTTTTGCAGCTGTCTCAGAAGGTCCAGGTTAGCCCCACCTGGTTTCCCTTGCCTGCTGCTTAGAGTCAGTTTATGGGCTTTGCCTCTGAATAACAGTTCCCACTCATCTCAATTACTGCTAGGTGATGTGGTGGGAGAAGCGTTAGCATTCTCAGTAGAGTTTTTCATGAGAGCTGACTTGATCAGTAACTACCCTTCACTTTCATACTGCTCCCCAACTGCTGATTCTGCACCTGCCCTTTGTGGAGTGAGTGAGTCTCCCAGGGCTAATCAAGAACCCACCTCCTGCCATGTGAGATCTTCCCAATGGCTGATTTTGCATAAACCCCCATGCTTTGTGAGTGGCTCTCTGTGGGCTGATCTGCAAATACTTGCCAACTGCATAAGGTGACCTCCTAGGGGCTGTTCCTACAACACACTGGTGCTCTACAGGCTGCTGTGTAAGGGTATGTCTTGCTTGTGCATCCATGCTACACAAGGTGACTCCTAAAAGGCTGATCCTGCACCTACCCAAATACCATACAAGCTACTCTGCAAGGGCTGACCAATTCCAGGTTTCTCATATCATCTTTCTCCCTTCCAGGCCTTCTGACTGGCCTGACTGTCAGGGACTGCCTTTGGCTTTCAGGGTCTCATGTTGTCACTCAATTCACCCTCCCTCTCACCTTCAAATTGCAGTCTTATTATAATTGTCAAATTGCTTTTTATTGCAGGCTGCTTTCCTTCGCTTTTTAGCATTCTGGACGGACGCATGCAGTCACCGTCATTCTCTACCCCAAAGCTATGTCCCAAATGTCTGATGTGCAGTGTCTGTTCTCTAAATCTCAGGCTCACCCCAGGGTCACTGGTTTTACCATTTTGGATAAATACTTTTTGGCTTTGTTTTTCCTGTCACTGCATACAAAGTACCTGTAATGGGATGTTCACATAAAAGTCCTTTCCCCATAAATCTTCACATCTTATGACCCTGCAAAAGGATCCCCATACTCCAACAGCTATCTTCCCACCATGTGATCAGTTCCAGCCTAGGAGGGCTTATTCTGTCTTTAAAAATGTAGAATTTATATGATTCAGATATTTCACCTTGTACTGCTTAATACCAACTGAGTCAGGTCTGGGTTAAAATTAGAGATGCATTGATATATTGGTGTCATATTGGATCAGCATTGATAAAAAGAAAATTAACGTTATTGGCTATTGGCTTTTTTTTGGCTGGTGTAACTGAGAATGTCACCAGTACATATAATATGCCTTCTGACCGGGGCCCCTGGATGTCATGTGTGTGTGCAGCTACAGAATACATGCGGTCTGAAATGTAGCCGGGCAGCATGGAGAGCAATGCTTTACGGGTGGGGGACAGATCAAGGCCCTCACGGTGAAGGAGGGAGGAAATGCAGTAGGGGCTGGGGCTGGGGCGCTGCCCAGCCAGTGTGGTGAATGGGACCCCAGGACCAGGTTGGGGAGAGGGACAGCCACAGGTAGCTCATCCAGGGAATCAGTATCCTGGTGCTTAAAAATGGTGGCGTAGGCACTTGATTTAAAGCTCATTGCATTTTAAAACATTGGAACGCTTTTAACCAGGGTGGAGTCAAGCAGGGTGAGGGCGAATGTGAAGGCAAGCTGCCCGCTATGGGTTTGGGGCTCTCTGCTCTGCTCCCTTTGCCCTGGGAGCTCTGTGTTGGCCACACGTCCCCTGCCTGTTTGGTAGCAGTGGCCGTGGCAAGTTTTGCCTCCTGCTGTAGGGTGGGCAGGGGATGTGTGGCTGGCTCAGGGTTCCCAGGGCAAAGGCAGTAGGGCAGAGAGCCCCCAGTCCTCAGCAGGCAGCCTGCCTCTGATCTTGCCCCACTCAACTCTGCTCCGGTTAAAAGTGTCCTGGTGCTTAAAAATGGTGGCAGCAGTGCTTGAACTAAAGCTCATTCGATGAGCTTTAGTTCAAGCATCCCCACTGCCATTTTTAAGTGCTGGGATGCTGATCCCCTGGACGAGGTGCTTGTGGCTCTGTCCTGTTCCCTTCCCTGGCCTCGGAGTCCCATTCACCACCCTGCCTGGGCAGTACCCTCAGCCCCTGCCCCACTCCTTTCCTCACCGTGGGGGCCTTGATCTGCACCCCTCCCCACATACCCCTTCCCCTTCACAGACTTACCTGCAGGGAACTGCTCTCCATGCTGCCTGGCTGCATTCCTGTAAATCAGTTATCGGATCGGTATCTGCTGATATACCTGGTAAATAATCAGCTATTGGTATCAGCCAAGAAAATATTTATTGGTGCACCCCCAAGTTAAAATTAATCTCTCATAATAATGTATTCTGCTTTATAAAAATCAAATTGCTGACATTTCTTTTTGTGCATATTACATTAAAGGACAAGTTGAAAAAACGTCAGTTTACAAAGCCAAACACTTGTAGGATGGGAAATACCAGAAATATGGGTGTCTCTGAAATGGTAATTCAGTACCTGTGGCTAGTCTTAAATTTTTTAGGCATCAATGCAGATCTGTTTCTCTAACATGTTAGCAGGAGTGTATCCTTCATTCATGCTGTTGGTTGGACTAGAAGACCCTTGAAGTCCTTTCCAACCCTATAATTCTTTTTCATCATCTTGCCCCCTTCCACATTCATTCCCACTTGTTCCTATCAACCCAGCCTGCTCCTATTCCATTGTCCACTCTCCATCCTTCTGCACTTGAATCAGGTGGATTCCTCTTTCTCTTGGACACCAGGAGGACAGGACTTTAAAAGCACAGAACTCCTGCCCTTGGATTCTGTGATTCTTGCTAATGCAGGTTCTGGCAGCTGGGAAAACAATTTCAGGGTAAGTCTTGCTCAGCCCCTGTTGCTTTAAGATGGACAGACATTATCTTTGTAGAACTCTGATGCTGAAAACTTAGTATGACTCTACTAAGCATGGGCAAATGGTCATTTTGTAGTTCTTGTACTTCAGCTAAATATGGGTGGATTTTCATAATGAAGTCAAAAGTTCTATCACTGACTTCAGAGCAGCTCCATTTCAGACATCAGGTTCCTGCTAAGCTTCACAATGAAATGGTTCCAAGAATTTTTAACATGGACAAGAAAACATGGTTTTCCCATTAGGAAAACCATTTTTTTTAGAAATGTTCCAAACCAATGTAGTGAAGTGATATTGAAAAATTTAGTTTGAAAATTACAAGCAAATGAAACCCAGGTGGATAATGGAAGATGTCAAGCAACCTTGAGTGTTTGTGTCCCTAACAGCAGTACTACTGATTCACAGTGATCATGTGTTCCTGTGTAGGAAGGGCCTGTTCAGGCTATTCGGTGTAGTGCTTATTTAGGAGCTGTAAAATGGAAAATACCATGCCCAGCAGTATTGTTACAGTGTCAGGAAATTTGATTCAAGGGTTTCAGTATTATTATCTGTTAATTGAACTACCATCGTTATACACTAAGATCTCAGTAGTGTTCTCATGGAGATGTTTTGCTTTGCAGTCTGATCTTTGTAGATTGACTTATTCACTGTGGAGTGCTGATGACATAAGCGGGACTGTGTCTGGCTTCCAGGGTTC